TTAGATGGATAAGGGATTGGCTGGATGGCCACATCTAGAGTCACTGGCTCCATGTCCAAATGGACACCAGTAATGAATGATGTCCCTCAAGGTGTCCCACAGATACTATTTAATGTCTTCATCAGTGGTCCAGACAGTGAGATTGAGTGCACCCTCAGCAAGTTTGCAGATGAACCAAAGTGAGTGGTCCAGTTGATAGGCTTGAGGGAAGGGATGCCATCCAGAGACAAGTTGGCAGGCTTGAGTAGTGGGCACATGAGAACCTCATGAGATTCAACAAGGCCAAGTGCAAGGTCCTGCACCTGGGTTGGGACAATCCTCAATATCACTGTAGTGATTCTGTAATAAGTTCTGTAATAATAATAAATAAAAGCAATGAAAAACCTTTGTCTCCATGGTACTATTTCCAGTAAAAGTAAAAGTCTGGATAATGTAAGCATCTCCACTGCATGTGATAGAGATACTGTAATATTCTGCTGCCCTCTAGCCAACTATGTGAGTTAACTGTCGCAGTCTGTGAGGGACTGAAATTATTTAGGTTTCTTGCCTTTGTACATCCATGCTGCTTCTGAGGTGTTATTTGCCAGGTTTTAGATTAAGAATTCACCTGTGAGCAAAATGATAATTTCATTCTTAAAATGAAATCGCATCATGTGTCTGCTCACATAATCTCTGGTCTAAAGAACTTTTAAAAGAAAATCTGTCAACCTGTTCTTAGAAATGGTTACGAACATTTGTCAGTAGAAGCAGCAATGTTATTTACCTAATTGATAGATTGTTAGTGTACAATGACTTTTGTTTTGTTTAGTAGTTTTATTATCATATTAGCATGTAGTTTATATTTGCAGGTTATGGCTGAAAATCATTAACTGTATCACTCATTCAAGCTTTAATGCAAATCCTTCACACAGATGTTGTATTTATTAGGTTAGCTATAAGCAAAGAAGATGCTATGATTCCACTGGAGAGTGTTGAGAAGGTATCTAGTAGCTAGCGTTTCACTTCATATGAAGGAAGCTAAATAATTCAAATATTTGATACAGGACCTTAAAATTATTAGGACTTCAAGAAGTATTCTGGTCTGCTCTGTAAGTTGTTCTGGCTTGGGTTTTTTACTAACTGCTTTAGCATATTCACATTTCAGTGAATTAACTATTGACAACATTAGTCTCTCTAGTATGAGTCATAAATTTCATCACTGTTGCCTAAGCCCTAATCTGTTTTGGAAAAGGTTTGCTGAAGTAATTCTGCATTTATATTGATGTTTCAATTATACCAGTGCAAGTACATCTGTGAAGGAATGTTTTCTGTTACTTACTAGATTGTGTATATTTGTTTTTCCTGTTATCTTTGAACGTCAGATCTTCTACTGTGGTGATGCAAAGGATGCTTCGTTTTACAGTCTCCCAGCAGACACCTCAGATTAGTGTGAAATAATTGCTTCTTTATAAATTTGTGCCAGAATAATCCAGATTCTACTCCTTATTTAAACATAAGAGCTTTAGATACTTCCCCGTATGTCTGAGTACAATACAGCTAAATAGGATATCCTTTGATGTATAGATATATAGAGGCTCTGAAAAGGTGGTTCTTTTCCATAATAACTTACTGTATTGAACATAAAATTTTAGGTCTATTTCCTCTGTTCATTAAACGTTTTTCTGAGATTCACTATGCATATAGAAGTGGATAAATCTGCAGTATCCTTGCTTTAAGTGCTGGCCCACTTGAATGTGTTTATGTGAACATAGTGCTGTACTCCATTTATGCTTAGAAATTACTCACTGCAAACTTATCATCTCTTGAGTTTCTTCATCCTTTCATGATTATGTAACTCACTGTAAAAACAGTATTTTTTAAAATTTGGAAAAGTATGGAGACCCTTTGTTTGTAATCTTTTGTGTTGAAATAAAATGTCCAGATTTTCCTGGTAGGTATTTTTTCTTCTAGAAATTGATTGTCACTTGCTGATTCCACGCAATGCGTTTCTTTGAGTTTGCTCCAGTGAGCCCTAGTCTTTAGAAATTTTGGTGCAGCAAGGAAAAATATGTTACTTTTCTATCTTATTCTGATTAATGGACTGAGGTAGTTGGTTTACACTATAGGGGGTTTAATGTTAATTAAAGATCTGATATAAATTCCGCTAATGAAAGGAGTCAACGCTTTCTGTGTGTTTTTGCTTTTCCTCCAGCTGTTGGTGAGAAGCAACAACCTTTCTGACAAGATCACAGTTCTGTGTGGAAAAATTGAAGAGATCTCCCTGGCTGAGAATGTTGATGTGGTAATTTCTGAACCAATGGGTTATATGCTGTTCAATGAAAGGATGTTGGAAAGTTACCTCCATTCCAAAAAATGGCTGAAGTCAAATGGTGAGTGTGTTACCACAGTTACCCCTCTGCATAGGAAAAGGCAGATAAAAAGCTTCTGAAAGAAGAAAAAAAGACTTGAATTGGTAGTCCAGGATTGTCTCGTTTTATACCCTCTTTGTAGCTCTACCACCAACATCTAGGGAGCCCAGGGGAATTAATATAATGATGCAGCCACCATTGCTATTGTACTATCCTGTGACTCCTTGCTGTTTCACAGAGGAAATAGCTTTTGAATATCATGCTGTTGCACTGCTGAGTTCTGCTTGTATTTTGATCTTTACCTGCTGCTGTATGCACTGTGATTGCATCCATGTTGCAACATAGCACAATAGATGATGACACACTAGCCTCAACTGCTGGGCAGTGGATGTAGATGAAAGCAGAACAGTCAAATAGGATGAGCTTTTTTTTTGTGAAAAAACTTACATACTGTCTTTGGGGAAAACTGTGAAGTTCAAATTGTTTTGACATCCTTTCATTTGGCTTCTTCCAAATACCTTATTCTAATACTTGGATGTTGCTTTTTGAATGATATGTGAGGGATTCACAGGCCTGTATTTCATCCCTCCTGTGTTTGGAGGAGTTGTGAAGGGAGTCTAAATTCCAGGGCCTCATGGGACTCTTCTTTGAGAGGTGAATCTGAGCATCCAATTGCTGAAAGATAAATCTTTCTACATGAACTGCTGAAAATGAGCTATGAAGTCCCTCTTTAAAAGACTTATTTTAAGAGACCTTTCTCAAGTAAAATTACTGCAGCATAGAAGTTTTTGAAGCATGGGTTGAATCTGTGCCTCAATGCAGGGAGCTAATGACTTTTCTGTTGAGTTGCTTCAAACTTGGAAAGCACATTTGGATGGTATTTTTCAAGTCAGCCACTGATCTTAAGTCTCCCATTTAGACTCTTAGGGCCTAGTTTCAGAGGAGGGCATCTGAAAACTGATCAGTAGGCAGCTCATTTTCAGTTTTTAAATGAGTGAATGCTTTTAAAGATACCAAGTGCCTAACTTTCTGATTGCTCACTTGTACAATGGGGATGAATCATCTTATATGGTGATTATTAAACTTAGTGATTGTCTAAGTAGTGAGCTGGAATTGTGACATTTTGAGTAAGTGGCTAATATTTAGTGCCAGTTAGGTTTGGAAACTTTCTGTCCCAAGTTCTCTGTAAACTTGTTAATATTCTCCCTGCAGCCAGTTTTAAAAAGCATGTCTATTTTGTGAGTGGGTGTTGTTCTTTATTTAAATTCCTGTGGACTCTTCCTACATGATGTACTTACAAAAGGAAAGCTGTTCCCTTTTCCCTCCCCTCCTTTACCTGTCCTCCCCTTCAACTATGCATTGTATTTTATACCAGATTAAAACAGAGTGAAGAAGAATGCTCAAGTGTAGTTCAAAATGAGCAGGCTTTGTTCCCTGCTTCCATGCACAGTAGAATACAAAGGTTTTCAATTAAGCTGCTAGGCAGTCTGATGCACTGTCCACAGAAAATAATGGAAGGTAATTCTTCTGGTTTTCTCAGCCACTAGAGTGTGAGAGCCTGATGAAAAAGCGTTGTTGCAAACTAGTAGATCAGGATTTCATTCCCTGCTCTGTCATGGATTTGCCACTTCATGCAAACAAAATTTGGTTTGTCAACTTAAGCATCTTAAAAAAAAAAAAAAAAAAGGGGGGGGGGGAAAGGTGGAATATATGTTTCTGTGTTTATAAAATGTTCAGTATTTACTCTGAAGTACTGTCAGTTTCCTGGATAAAATTCTTAGGAGTGAAGTGCATGTAACTACTTCATTCATTAGCAGCAGTTTTTCTAAATTTGATCAAAACCATACCCAGCAGTTTAATTCAAGATCAAGTCTGAGCTTTAATGCAAATCTTTCACACAGATGTTGTATTTATTAGGTTAGCTATAAGCAAAGAAGATGCTATGATTCCACTGGAGAGTGTGAGAAGATATTTAATAGCTAGCATTTCTCTTCATTTGAAGGAGGCTAAATAATTCAAATATTTGGTATAGGACCTTAAAATTATCAGGACTTTAGGAAGTATTCTGGTCTGCTCTGTAAGTTGTTCTGGCTTGGGTTTTTTACTAACTGCTTTAGCATATTCACATTTCAGTAACCCATATATTAATGAAACAAAATGTTAAGATACCTGAAGTGTATGACAATTGCTGCTTCTGAACTGGTGGTTTCTTGGTAGTGAAGACATTCCTGTAGAGAGGTCTGTAGGACTATAGAATCACAGAATATCCTGGGTTGGAAGGACTCACAAAAATCGAGTCCAGCTCTTAACTCCACACAGGGCAACCTTAACATTAAATCGCTTCTTGAACACTTGCCTTTCTACTTAATGTTGTCTTTTTTTATTAGGAATTATGTTCCCAACATACAGTGACATTTATTTGGCTCCTTTTTCCGATGAGCTGCTGTACATGGAACACTACTCCAGAGCCAATTTTTGGTAATGATTGTTTATGTTACTTTATTTTTATCAAAGATTCATTAGAGGTTAAAAATTAAATCAGTTCTTTGATTCAGCATAAACTTATCTGTCAATATTGAAAGAGAATGCTTTTGTGTTTTCCATGTTCACTTCTGCTCTGGCCTACAGTCATACTGTTTATTGTGCAAGTTTGAAGGATCTCTCAGGAAGTGCTAGACCTGACTGGGTCTCTTTTTGAAAGAGAAAATTAATCCATGGAGCATCCACTGCAAGAAAGAGAATTGGCTGTGAAGGAGGTGCTAGTGTTCCCTTTGCTACACCAAAGCATTGTATGCTGCAGATGGTGATTATTGTATTGCCTGAAGTCCCAGGTGCATGAGCACAGGAAAGATTCCTTGGCAGTCTTCACAGATATTAATTCCCATGTCCTGGACGATTTCCAATTTGGTAGTTACTTTCTGTCCACCTAAATTTTCCATACAGCTTTAACGAGAAGTGGTAATCGTTTTGCCTTGGAGTCTCCTACTGCTCCTGCCCGCCATTGAGCTGTTGCTGTGCTTTATATAGGAGGAAGCATTTACAGCAATATTCTAAGGAGGAGAAATTCAGATTATTCCATTTCAGCAAAGGGCAGGTTTATTTTTAAATATCTCTAGTCCTTCATGTGATACAGATCTGTTAATTTATAAATTATCTGTTTATTATATAAAGGGTTTGGATTAAAGGTAATGTGGAACTCCAGGGTTAACTATTTTTAAATCTTCTGGAAGATTATAAATCCAGTCTTTCAGCTGTTCTTTCAGCTTGCAATGTGGTATGTGAACATTAAGCGGTCTGCATCAAACCTATTTGTTGGTTTCTCAGATTAAAGATAAAGTTTTCTTCCATGCCTAGGTTCCGGTATAACTTCTCATACATAGAAGGTTTCTTCCAGCTGTGTCTGTAGTAGAGCTCTGACAAAATCTTACTATTTCTATAGCAATTAAAGGAGTGAAAGAAATTTGAATGATTTACATGCTGAATCCTTTGCTGTCAATGTTACTTTGTACAGCAAATTAGTCCTTTTTTTTGTCTCAATGCATAGGTTGAGCCAGCTCTGAAATGTTTGCATTGTATGTTTACTATCACAAAAACTGCAACTGTATTTTTCTATATTATGAGACTGAAAAAAGAAGGTAAAAGCCACTCCTGATAAGTTTTCACATCTCTTCCCAAAGATCCTGTTATTTTTGCTTATATACATGACATGTCTATGATATATTAGACTATAAATTAGAAGACCGAAGGACAGTGTTGTACCACAATGCAGATTCTTCATCACTTAATAAAGAAAATAGATACATACTTAGTAGTTTGAAGCAGAAATATAGCTTTTTTTTTTTTCCCAGGTCTATTCAGGACTGGATGTTACTGCCAGTATGAAAGCATTTTGTTTCAGACTGCTTGGGATGCTTCATCTTCATTTGTAATAAATCTAAGACCTCTGTGGGATACTTGTGGGGTAGATACAGTTTATGTGTGTGTAACTCTGTGAACACTGATGTATATGGTAATTGCATTGGTGGTGGGGAAAAAAAATCTGCAGCCTTTTGTTGTTTAAGAATTGTACAGGTGGGACTGAATAGTCTGGCTAGATTAGTTTCTTATAGTTTGTTAACACAAATACACCATACACAAGAGAACTTTGTCTGTATCTAACTGGCATACATTTCCTAAGCTTAATTATCTGTCAACCACTGCAAGGCTTTCAGAGAATTGCATAAAGGGGAAAACCAGAATTTTCAAGTCTGCTTTAGTAACTAATTTCTCTTTGCATTAAGAATTTTTTTGTCATTGATACTATTATCACAGACTGCGGTAATACTTCGTAATTATTATAGTGATCAAGTTGGTATGTAAATGGCAACAGACTGCCGTCTTTGCTCCACTCATCTTTGCAAAAGGATGTCTCCCATTTTTGACAGACCTTTTTATTACCTACTTTTAACTTTTTTTGTGAGAATGTTTCAACCTAACTAACCACAGAAATGTCACATGATTACCTGTGATGATAATGCTTTTATAGCAGGTTCCGTTTGACATGTTCCTAGATAGAATAGTTTGTGTGCTTGCAGTGTAATTTGTTGCTGTCTTGAAGTCCCCTGAGCAGAAGGCTATAGTATCAGTCCTCCTGTCAATCCGCATAGTTGTACTTTTGTATGGGTATATGCCCAGGACATTGATTGTGCAAGAGGATTATTAAATACTCTTGAGGTTACTGAGTGCTCTGAAGATCAACAAATTAGTGCTTCTAATGTCTTCAACCAAATGTGGGACCAAAACATTCTGACAGAGTGCAGTAGTTCTGCTTCTGCACCACTGTAGGGCATTTGTGTTCTTATTAAAAGGTCTGGATATCCTGATAGATCCAGAGCTATAAAAGTCCTATTTCAGACAAAGCACTTTCTCAGGGCTTTCTTGGATGTTTGAAGTAAACCATCAAGAACTAATTGGTGACCACGTATGATTTGCTAAACTTCAAATTCCAGGCTTCAAGAAACAGCTTTCATTCATTGTCCAGCTTTGTTACTTGGAACAGAAGATGTGGTTTGTGTGTAATAAATCCTTTCCTATTTAGCTAAATCTATATTCTTAGACATTGGATATGTTTTTTGATCCACTTGAGTGATAGTACTTCAGAAAAAAAAAAAAATAAAAGAAATATCTAGATTTGCAATTAGAACTTTCTGGTAAAGGCACCAGGACTTTAAAGAACCTTCAAAATCCTATGCCAAAATCATGCTGCATGTTCTAACATTAGATGCAGCCGTTAGTATAGCCTATTTACTATGAAAAGGAAAGGCTACATGTTTGACATACTTAGAATTATTGTCTTGGATCTGTACAGTGATAATAATTACAAGACTGTGTAAGTATGTTTTGTTTCTCTTCAGGCATATAGATTGGCTTAGTGTGTGCTTCAGAGTTTCATATTAATTTGTAATTGCCAGTAATCATTCCTGAAAGTGTGATCATGTATAATCTGCTGTAGAAGAGCAGACTGCTCTTTCTGTTGGTGAAAACCTTGCAAAGATAGAAAGAAAGCGTAAATACATGGCAAGTCGTTAAAAATAGTGTGCATTTTGTTCGTATTTCTCATCAGTGATAAATAAGCAGCTCAATTATACTGTACAGCAAACATATGGAAAAGGTAAAAGATCACTCGCAGCTACTGGTGTCAGCTGACTTCCTCTGTTGTGCTTATTTGAGTTCTTTCCTTAAAGATATCTTCTCAGATATCTTTAAGGCATACAGTCATCTGGGCATCTCCCCTTTATGCAATTAGCACAGAGCTAGTAATGCAGAATTTATCAGTATTGAAGGGGTATTGCCAGATTGGTTTAGACTAACTCATCCACTTCGAAAAAAGTTACAGTAGTTTAGGAGTTGTACAATGTTGTAACTATGAGGAGAGAACAAAAGTTTCCGTTTTTAAGCCTCCCTTCTGAAGACTTGGGAGGCTTGATCATGGTTTTGCATCTAGATGACACTTGATCACAAGGAATTGACCTTCCTTGCCATTTCCCCTTTCCATCCCCTTTTGTTTATGTTATCTGAAAGTGAAGATACCTATTAAACATTTTAATGAGTTGATGGGAAGGTTGTACACAGGAGGAAGATTTCTGCAAGCATGTATATTTTCATTTAAATTTTCGTACTGGAAATAGTCTGAATATACATTAAATGCATATTTGCATAAATTGGTAAGATGATAATACTATTTTTTCTGTATTCTGTGGCATAGGATGACCTTTATTTTCCTCTTTGATGTCAATAAAAATTAACAGATGTGTAATATAGGTGTTCTCTTCACTATTTTGGTTTATACAAAGTCCACCCCCACTTCTGGAATAGCTCAAGATTACAAAAGTAGTTTTAAGAGTGCCTCAGCCCTTCTCACTATTCTCTGCTTGCTGTGTGGATTCTTTCAGACGCATAGTGTGAAATGTCTCCGTATGTCCGTTTGAGGGGATCATGTCACTTCAGTGCTGCATGGGATGTCTGTGGGGTGGGTAAAGTAAGCTAAGGAGGGCTGCAATTTGCCCTCTTGGCAGACAGGAGAAAGGGTCTTTAGCCACTCTTCCCCTGCCACTTAATAGTTACTCTGCCCAGGTCTGGTTGGAACACAGAAAAAAAAAAAGTTTTTCTCTAAACGTTTTATGTGTTAACTGTTTCTAGGTACCAAGAGTGTTTTTGTGGGGTCAACCTGTCCAGTCTGCACAGTGCAGCTGTGGATGAGTATTTCCGACAACCTATTGTGGTAGGTTTGTATGTCTGGCAGTTATTTTTTTGTGGTTTTCCCTCTCCCTATCTCATCCCCTCCACAAAATCCTACAGGTGCAGTAGCCTTCTTGTTTAACAGAGCTCTGTGGCTGCTGAGTAGGGAGCCGGGAACTAACTCTGCGAGTGTGAACAGAGCTGCTGACAAAGGTCAACTACTACATGTAATATCCCCGGTTTTGCTATGAGTAACATGTCTAGAGCAATGCACACATTAGGAAGCCACAGCATGTGAACAACTCTCTTCCTCACATGCAACTAGTTTCCCTCAGTGTTTCCAGTCTCTTAACCAAGTGACTTGATCTTGATTTTTGCCTTCCCATCTCTGATCCACAAAGAAAGGAAAAGAGAAAGCAGCCAAGCAAACACATTTCTGTATTATCAAACAACCTTTTTTTAAATATGTAAGTGTCCTTATTTTATTAGTAACTTGGATCTAGCACCTGCCATTCTCCTTCTTTCTTTTTAGTAAAAGTCTACGTGGTACCTAGTTAGAAAGAATGCAGGAGAAATCTTTCATACCTCTTTGGGGGAAAAAACCTAAACAATCCCCACCCCCTGCCCCAGTATAATGCTTCAGTTTAGGTGCACTGAAAAGATTCGCTCACTCTCAGAAATTCGATTGCAAGAAATCTTGGCTAGCTTTAGGTTAACCAATTCTAAGTAGTGATAGCAGTGTAGTTGCTGTCGCATGGAGACCCTAAAACCTGTCCAGAAATCAGGACTTTCTGCACTTGATTGCTTTTGGTACTTGAAATGGATATGAGAAAAGTCTCATTTGTACGTGTGATTAAAGAAGGAAAAATGAAGGGAAAAGTTTTCATTTGCTGAATGACTACTCCTAACTTTTTCCCAGAGGGCGATCTGTATCAAGTAATTTTGCTTCCTATGCTTCATAATTTAATTTCCAAGTATTTTTGTACTGTCTTAGTTCAGTTTACCCAACTGTGCAGTGGGGTAAAGTAAAGCACATTAAAATGTGTGTAGTTTGAAAAACAACAACAAAAACCCCAGCCAAATAAACTCACCTTTTCCTTTTCTTTTTTACAAGTGATAAATTTTTGGAAAAAATTTATTTTTTCTAGGTTGAATAAATCAGTCTTTGATAGGTCTGTAAGCTATGAAATATATATATGATAACATTGCAAAATCTAACAGTGTTCTAAGGAATGCTAAAAAACCTAAACATTTAAAATAAGTTTATTAGGTAAAGGTTGATTTTTTTTTTGTCATTTTTTATCCTTTTCTTTAACAGAAAAGAAGTTTATATGCTGACAAGACAGAATGATAACGCACCTTTTTTTTTTTTTTTTTTTTTTGACCCCCACAGGACACTTTTGATGTGAGAATTCTGATGGCCCAGACAGTGAAGTACACTGTTAACTTCATGGAAGCTGCTGAGGAAGATTTGCGTAGGTCAGCAACCTACTCTTATTCTTTTGGTTTTGTAACTGGCTGATGATCATTGGTGCTCAGAAGCAGAGGAGGCTTTGGTGGTGGATGTGAAGGAGGAAAGATGGCATGCCCGTGATTAGTACACCACTGATAATGGGCTGGAGCATTCATCTGCATGCCAGTTTGTCTGGTATTAGCAGAGAAGCCTGTTCGAGAGCCTGTGAAACACCAGAGATAAGTTCAAAAAATTACCATACTGAAAGGGATAAAATGGGCTCTGGGGAACAGTGTCTACTTCTTAGAGTTTTATGTTGGGACACACTCAAATCTAGTTACGAGGCAATTTTTGTTTTTCTGTGTAGATACCCTACAAGACTTTGTCAAATGGTGTCATCACAAGCTGCCTTGCTGAACTCTTGTGTATCTCTTTTTCTAAAAAAAAAAAAAAAAAAAAAATTTCCAGTCTAACAGGAGTCAGCTCCAGATCTGACTTCAAATCTTTAGTTGGAAAGTATTATATATAAACCAGCCTGCATCCCTTGTGACCCAGAATGACAGCAGAGAAGCCTCCTTCTCAGTGTGAAATAAAGTGTACCGTATGGGAGAACCTGAGGGAGTGCTTCAAGTCCTTGCAAGACTCTATCATAAGGGGAAAATACCACTGTCTCTTTGAAACTCTGAACCCTTGTAGTTTCAACATAACTCACAACTAATTGTATAATGACATGGTCTAGTGAGAGGGGTAATTGCTTTATGAGTGGGGAAACAGCTGAAGAAATGCTTTCCAGTTTCAGCTGGCTAGCACTGGCTTCCTTCAGTGCTTCTCAGAACTGACATGTTCATAACCAAATGCTAATTTTCAGATATGTTTCTGCAAAAATGGGTGAGGTTTGGGTTCAACTACATAGCCAGTAATAGTTCTTTTGGAAGGGAAAATATTCCAGCTCTTGCTCAAGAAGCTCAATTTTTCCTTCTGGTTCCAGAAGTAGTTCTGTTTGTCAAATTTGTAGCGGAACATTTTCCTGTTCAAAATAGTATTTAAACTGAATCTGAGCCCTTCACAAGGAATGGAAGGTTTTCCCCTGGAAGGACTAAACGCAGTCTCCAGTGTTGCCACAAACGATGCAGTAGCACTTTTGTAGTGGCATATTTGATTCTACTATCAAGTAAGGCACACAAAAACCTAACACCTAAATGGCTGCCATTGGTCAGTTCTATTGACTCAGAGAAAAAGAGCATGTCCTTTTAAACATATGGAAAAATTTGATATAAATTGATAAATAAGAATGGAAATACATAGGTAGATTTCTAGTGGAATTTCCAGTACTTTCAGGAAATTACTTTGGCAGCATATTATATTTTCTCCTGCAGAGTGGAAATCCCTTTTGTTTTCCAAATGGTGCAGTCAGGATTAATCCATGGTCTGGCCTTCTGGTTTGATGTGGCATTTGTAGGATCACTGTGAGTACTTTTTTCTTCTTCCTATGAAATACTAACTACAGGGAAAAAAAAATCACATCATTCATACAAGGTGTGCCAGAATTAGACCTTTCTTTGGTGCTGACCTTGTTTGTAATGTAATTCCTTCATATTAAAGAAATTTTGCCTTCTAGAGGTAACAAAAAGTGTGATAACCTAGTGCTAGCAGTATGACTAGATGGTAGTAATCTTGCTTCCCACTGATTGGGGTGCACATTATCTATGGTAGACCACATCCAGGAATTGCTGAGGGTCAAAATGCACTGTTCGACACAGTACTGATTCTTTGTAATACTACATACCTTTCTGTTTCACATTGTAAGTAAAGTAGCAGAAATTGAACATAAACTGGATTTTTCCTGTTTGGGCTGGTCTTGTTTGTGGGCAAAAAGGAGAGCAGGTTGCAAGTTCTAGCTAACAAAATAGAAATGGAGAAAATTTCACCAGGCTTGGGAAGTACATTCATCTGGTATAGTAAGTAGGTAAAAATTAGATAAACGTCCTCATGTAGTCAATACATAGATTTCAGCTACCTCTATTTAGCTATTAGATAAGATTTGTTGATTTCCTGGGTAAATTGAGCTAGTTTTAAATGAGGTGGGTTTTTTTTTCAATAAATTGTAAAATGCACTTCTATTTGTTCATGTTGATAAATGCTGTTTATTAGCCTTTGAAATGAGGATTGTCAAGAATTCAGAATAGTATTTCCGTTGAAAGAAAATGGACATATGTGCATTTGCATTTACTTTAACAGATAGTAGTAAAATTTTTAATCTTGAAAAATGAACCAGAAACTCTACGTTGGTTAAAACAGTACAGAAAATTGCAGACTTGGAAGAATTGACTGAAATCCTGTGCTGAGAAGGCCTCCATTTTGGAGTAGGCAATTGCTTAATCAGCAGCTGTTTCATGTTCTACAGCTCTGGAAGTTCTTTGTCTTAGCCCTTGAAAGCTCAGTGAATCAGGCTCACAGTATTACCTGTGTTATCCCTTTCTTTGCACTTGCAGCCCCTTTCAATATATGACTGTTATATCTCTTGCAAGTGAAAACTAGGTATAGGACCTTCTTGGGGAGTATTTAAGGATGAAATTACCATTGAAGAATTGCGTTGCCACATTCAGGACAAACTTTATCTTCCTGTAATTTGTTGAAATTGTCTGAGTGGTAATAGGAGAGAGAAATTAGTATTCTCTTTCGTGGAAGTTTGGAAAGAGAGGACAGGAGTCTGAAGAGTCTTTTTGGAATCCCCGTAATTGGCATAGGCACACAGATCTGTGGTGACAGACACAGTATAGGTAAAGAAAATGAGGCATAACGTATTAATTTCCCAACATAGGGTAGAATCACTCTCCCAAGTTTGCTTGAAGGCAGTTTAAAATTTATTATAAGCAGCTGAGGCGTCACATACATAAAGGTCTAACAACTTAAAATTGTTTCTGAAAAGAGAAGACAGGAGAGAGTCTAGATAGTTTTTCTTGTTTGTTTTAGGGTAACTGTTTGGTTGTCCACTGCGCCGACAGAACCTGTCACTCACTGGTATCAAGTACGCTGCCTTCTTCAGAGGCCTCTCTTTGCTAAAGAAGGGGAAACTCTCTCAGGGAAAGTCTTACTTGTTGCCAATAAGCGGTAAGCGTAAAAGCTTCCCAGCCAGACTTTGTAGTGTGGCTGCTCTTGTTAGAGGTACCCAAAAGACACCAGTTAATTTTGAATGTGCTTGTACCCACATGTGTTATTTCTGGTACCATTACCAATTTATATGGTATCACTAGTACAGTTACGTAGGCAGTGCTGACCCTGTGAGACTCTGCTTACCAGAAGGTCTCCATGTTCCACTTCAGTTGCCTATGATGTTCCTTCTCACATACCTTCTGCTTAACCACCTGTCACATCCTACCTTCCCTCATAGTGCTACTTGCAGCTTTTGTCAGCTTTCTACTCCCATATCTTTCACACACAGCAGTTTTCTTGGGTCACATCCAGTCATTTTCCACACCTTGTTCTGGTACTGTAAGCTCTGGCCATGTCTTCAGCAGCAGCCTGGCAGTTTGCCTGAAGCCCCGTCTCTCAACATCCCCCGTCTCTCAGCAAGTCCTATGCAGAGACAAGGAAAAGTGGGGTTGATCTCAAATCCATTATATTTTAATTCTGAAAAAGATTTCTTAGGGATGTGGTCCCCTGTTTAATGATAGGACTTTTCATGTGTTTTTTGTTCTTCCACTGAGGCTAATGAAGATGGCTGCTTTTAGAAGGGCATATCTCCTCACCAGACTTTTCTGTTGTTCCTGCTGTCAGTCAAATATTTGGTAGCTCCATTCCTACACTTTGCTTTGAAAATACTCGAGTGACTGGGTCACACAAGTTGCAGCCTGTTTTGCTTGTATGTGTGTGTAGTTTTAACAGAAAACAAAGCCTCCTCAGTGTAGGAAGGTGAATCTTTTTTTTTTTTTTTTTCCTCTTTTTTTTGGGGGGGGGAAACATGCTGACCAGTCAGGTGATTCTGGTAATATCAAAGCTGCCAGTAATACTTCCAGGGGTCTTTAATCACATCAGCAACAAATACTTGATTTGGGTCTTGTTAAATTTCCAGATCTTCTGCTTAGAAACTCCTCATGGAGAAAACAAATAATTCAGATCTTGATAATGTCTTTCAAACATAAGATCTGTGACTCTTTTAATATATAAAAGAAACACTGTATGCCACAAAACGATCACACAGCCACTGCTGTAAATATGTCAATACATACGGTGTATCTGCAGTGCAGCATGGCTCAGAGACACCTAAGCTAGCAACCTTTACAGACTGAGAATGAGAAACACTTTAACCATGTGTAAGCACGGAGCTAACAAGTCCTGCTACAAAGCTAATCCGATTTCGGGATCAACATAGCAGCTGTATGTAAGTCCACAGTTGCTGTTCCGTACTGGTGGCCCAGCTTTGGTCAGCTTCAGTGTTTTGGTATGCTCGCAGTTGCTTGGTTGGTCCTCTTTACTTTTCTGTGTAAACTCAGTTTCTTGAAAAAAGTCCTGTAAAAAAAAAAAAAAAAAGTCCTTCCTGGTGAAATCCATGATTATAACAAGAGTGAACCTAAGGCTGTTTGGCCAGTTAGATATTTTTGATCATGAAATGATTCTCTCATTGTACTTGCTAATGTTGAAATTTATAGTATTTCTGTCAGAGAGGGGGGAAAAGACCTTTCACTATTGAATACTATCAGTGCAAAATTATGTTTTTCCAATGCAAACTCTTAAAATGACTTAAGCATCTTGTAAATTTTACTTCTCTTGAGATGGTTAAATAATCATGCCCTTGCACTGATACCACTGCAAATAAATTTCCTTTACTTGTTAAACTAAGTGGTTATTATTCAGACAGTAACTACACTGGTGTTTCTTCATACAAGATATTACACTTGGCTTAGTTCCATTACCTGTTTTTTATACTTCTCTTTCTGATACAGACAAAGTTACGATATTCAGATTGTGGCTGTGGTGGACCAGACGGGATTTAAATCTGATAACATTCTTGATTTAAAGAATCCATTTTTGAGGTAAGAAGTGCTTTTGACTAAAATATAGCATTGTAGAGTGGTACCATCTTGTATGACAGGAAGCAAAGCACATCTACTGTGGAAGAACAAGTTTCTGATCTCTTAGAGTTTATTTTATTTTTACAGGTATGAGGGCATCATTGTTTTGTGTTAGCAGTAGTTACATAAGCCAATATTCTATTTAGGCTGTGTGACAAAGAGCAAGACAAAAGCTTTATTTGAGATCTGTAATAATTTAGTGCTGTGACAAAATAGTAAACATTTACTTGTACTAATGTATACTTAAAATCCTCTGCTGTTTCCTGTTGTATGATGTGCATCATTGTGACTCAAAGAATCAGCAATATGCCAAGACACACTCTGCTAAGTACATAAATTGATACTACTATTTGACATGAAGGACCTGTCCTTTTTGTATTAAACATGAAGGGAGAAAAAAAAAATCTACCTGCTGCTATCCTTTCCAACCAAGCAGGGACCTTCATTAGGTGTTGCTACAGCACCATATTTTGGGGAAAGCTGTCAGTGACAGATCAAAACAAGGAGGAGGAAGGAGCCAACAGTTCTTCTAAAAGAAAAAATTATTTTTGAGAAAAACAGGCTAGCTGTGTTCTGTTCTTATTCTTACACTGTATTTGGCGTAAAAATGGCCAAACATAGCTGGTGGAAATGATTTTTTTTCCAGAGGTACACATGGAAAATGCTTCCCTCGTTCATTATGTATTTCCTGTTTCACATTTTTTTGATTCAGACCTATATGACAATTCCACAGTAATCCTATAAAAATATCCATTGTGTCTGGTGAAAATGAATGAATTTTCATCTGTACATCAAATGTGTGGCACATCAGTTGTTTTGGCTTTAGAGTGGGGCCCTTTTAATTAAATGCGTAAAAAATGCCTTTGTAATAAAGACTGTTCATGGAAGACCTGCAATAACTAAAAATAAAACCATGCACTGGAAAAGATTAATTTCCTCAGATTTGACCTGTGACATGGACAGTGTCTAGCTTGCTTGTGGTTTTGGTTTGGCTAATACTGATTTCAAATATAAAAGCTTTTTGTGAGGATGATTATGAGTTTACTGTCTTCTAAAATCTCTGTACTTGCTCTCAGAACCCATTGCGTAAGCATGAGTGACTTTTCAAAGCTGATACAAGTCTACTCACTTAGAAGCAAAAGAAGTTAAGAGTTTTTGACTTAAGTAAAATGTAGAAATTGCTTTCAGAATTCTATCACTCATTTGCAAGAAAGCAGAGGGGGGAATTAATCAAGTTGTGTGTTACATATAGAAGTACTTCAAGTTATATGAAGTGGTATTCTTGTTTGAAAATTGAATGTAAAAATGTCACTCTGTGATTTCATGGTTGCTATCCAATTAACTATACTGAGTTCTATAATTTAGACTGCTGTTCTCTTATACATTAATTCTTAGGGTGTTTGGTTGTGAAATCCTGCCAGAACACACTAAACTTATTTAACAGGCTTCCCCTCTGAGGCTCCATTAGTTTTGTTTATTGATCCTTCTCCATTCTGCCCCTGCCTCCTGTAGCAATTTCCAGAACTCTGAAAGAGTTGGAAAATCAAAGGCAAAGAAGACTTCCCAAAAGAACAGTGCTTATTTATCAACATGACGTAACTTTCAAAGCATTTGTAAAGGTTTTAAAAATCCAGGTTTTAAACTAGGACATGCAAATTACTGTGCATGGTGGGAAGTTATGCCAACACATACAACCTAGCTCTCTTCTACACCACTGCTTCGTAGTGTCCTGATACAAATATTTATCTCTGTACCACAGGGATGGATAATAGGGAAGGAGCGATTCTGGAATTTTTTCACTTGTTTAAAACAACTCCATACTAAGGCTATAGCATAAGATAGAAATAAAAGGCTGGGCTGGGAAGCCTTTAATTTCTGTGAAGGCAATGGCCTTGGCTGCTATGCATAAGAGCAAAAGAAAGCCTCTGCCTTTGTAAAATAAGCTACAGTGGATTTGGTAGCATTTTATACTTGCTTGCACTGCTGCAAATCTAGATGAAAAGATTTAAAATTTAAATTTGAAATCATGCTGCATTTAATAAATCTAGTAACAGCATAGGGCACTGATTTCCTAGCTTTATTCCAGTGAGACTTACCTGACATACATTGGGCGAGTGTTGTGCTTCCAACTATTTCAATTTCATAAAAGTCCTTAAGTATCAAAAAGCTGTCAATATTTTTTACTCCAGAGTAAAATAAAAGCTATGTTAGAATTTATTAAGTTTCCTTAGTTCAACTAGTGCTGTAAGCTATCAAAGAATTGCACATTTTAACTATTTTATTCTTTCATCCATTTTTAGGTATGCCTAGAATATATTGTAATATGGCATCTGAAAACAGAAGTGAGATTCTCACCAAGCTGGGTAACCAGTGAGATTGAAATCAGTTCAATTCTTAGTAGGCCTACTGGTGCTTCTGTAAAATCCATTTGTAACTGCACATATCTGTAATTGCATGCAAATTATGTGAGAAGGGGATATTGTTGTGGTTAAATCTCTTTTTTTTTTTTTTTTAATTGAAATTTAGCCTGCGCTCACATTTACAGACTTGAATTGCAGCAGGCTCAACCAGAATGTTCATTTGGTATAGAGCAAGAATTATTTCTCTGTGTTGGTTTTTATTTCTGTTTTACAGTCAACTCACTTTGGTCGCTGGCCTGTCTTTTTGATAATTTTTTTCCAATATTGTAGGGTATTGAACAAAACCTACCTCATGTTTATATATGTAACATATTAAAAGATCTTTGAGCAGTATGTATTGTCCATGCTTTAAACATTCAGCACTTCCAGGTATTTCAATGTTTGGTGTTAATCTCCTAGCTTACCAGGGCAGTGTGTTAAATACTTCCATTTTCCCTCAATGGACTCATTAATTTGGTTCGAGACATCGAACCTAGAGTCATTTTGGATATACTTTGTGAATGTTCTGAGATTTCTCTATGCCTACTGAAGTGTAACGGGACGTTTGTAAACTACTCCCAGCATAGCATGATATAAAACCATATGACAGGATATGCAGGACTTGCACTTTTTCTGTAGCTCTGTGAGAAGCATTGATAGTCCAAGCTATACAAGTATGTATTTTAGGTTTGTGTACCTAGCAGATGAGGAAGACTATACAGTTATAGTACAGACTGTAACAAGCTCTGTCTCCAGACACTGTGACTTTTATAGGATGTGTTTCTGGCACACAAAGTGCATGCCTTATGCTGAATTAATGAGCTGGAGTCAAATCAGAATTGTGTATGTCGTTTTACTACCAAAAACATAACAGCAGTGATACCTCTAGCAAGATTTAATCAGCCTTTAGCCTTCCACACACTGTTGGAAGGCTGGTTTGAAGGAAAAGCCCCCCAAAACTGCCCCTTCTCTCAGGAAGTTACATGCTGCATTTGATCAAAGGACCAGCTAAGGACCCTTGTTGGGAAGAATTAATAAACAGCTGTAGTTTCAGAAGTTTTTCTCCAAGTCAACAGCTATTTGCAGCTATTTAGTTTATGAGATTATGGAAAGTAGTCCATAAAATTGTGAAACTTGTAAAAGTAACATGAACTTCATGGCTGAGGTTATGAAACCATTGAAGTTAGTGTCAGAAAATGATTGCCTTATTATTTCCAGTAGCATTTAATTCAGCAGGTGAAAGACTTCTAGTATAAAAGTGTCGTTTGCACAATAACAGACTGTTCTGTTACACAAATATGTAATATATATTTTAAAAAATAGTATTTAATGTGGGTTGCTGCCTCTGAATGATAACAAATTATCATTTGAACCTGTACAAGCAGCATGATGAGATTTCTGATGAAATGTCATGATGGTTGGGTGTCTATCCTTCCTAAATTTAGTCTGTACAGTGGTTGGTGGGTTTATGCTTATATGAGAGAAGGAAACAAATCCAGCAATGTCCACATCCAAATATAGGCAGCTGTAGTTCAGAGTTTTCTAGAGTTTGGCAGGTTTTCTTCAGCAATTATGGAAGGATATATATGAAATTTGAATATGAATTAAGCATACAGATTTGTAATTTCTCCTATTGAGCTGCATGTCTGTCTGGATCTCACTCTTCAGTCTCAAACCTTTTCTGTATATAAAGTATCTGTATATAAAAGAATTCTGTTTTCTATAGGGAAAAAACTTACATTGTGAATTTCACGAGGCAACTTCAATTCTTTTTAAGGAAGTAAGTAAATAAAGGGGAGGAAGAACAAGAGCAGCAGACAACAGTGTGAGGTTATGTATCTTTATTTCAATCCAGATCAATAGGGTTTATGTATCTCATAACTGCACCTTCAATACATATAGAAAAGACTGTTTTCTTACACGCTAACAAGTATAAAGAGTATTTCACAGTGATTGCTACTTGGAAGTGATTTGGATGATCCACAACTGGTATTTGTATTTCTCTCTGCTTCAGGAACTCACTTTATTCCAGATTGTATGCTAAAACCGAAGAGAAGATTGACGTCAGATACTATACCATTTACAGTCTGAAATTAGATCCTGTGACTGTCTTAATTGCCTTAGGATTTAACATTTTCTTCTTTCCTGCTTTGAGAAGACTTGGTGATTTTGAAGTATACAGGAGCCTACCTTTGAGGACTACAGTGTACTGTGTTCACCTTACAGGACCTTCTGGGTATAAACATAAGAATATATTTGTAACGTATTTTTGAAACAACATGTCAATGAAAACATTTTATTGATACAAGTGCTGGTGTTTTGATGTTTTACAAAGGCAATGCTACAGAATGT